TCCTGCTCTAGCTTTTGCCCCATGACTTGTGTCATCTACCACAAAGTTTGTCAAACAGAAAAAATCCAAGTCTTTGGCTTGTGTAGCAGCTGAACAAACATGGCGGCAGTGTGCTGCCTAGAAAGTTCTTGTTTTTCTTCTCTTTTCTTTTTGATCTAATTGATTCAAAAAGAGATTCAGAAAGTGATTTACACTAGCTATCAACAAAGAAATAGAAAAATTGACGAGAAAAAGAAATGGAGAAGTTGTGCTACTGTGCTTTTCACTGAATCTCTATTGCTTTAATATTTACCAGTGTGTGTGCATAATTTCAGAACTCTCCTTTTTAAGTCAGTTTTCTTCAAGCCACATACAACTCAGTAGAAATAAAATTCTCTCCCCTTTTAAATAAGTCAGAAATCCTCTTGGGAACTAATCTCTCAGGATGGATAAACCAGTTCAGCTGAAATTCAAATTGACCCAGATTCAAGCTAACACAAAATTTCAAACTTTTGAGGTTGAAGAAGAATTGGGATCAATTATTATGTTGTTACTGTTGGTGGTATTTTGCAGTTTATAGTTTCCGCCAAAGACAAAAATACTCATGACTGCAAGAGATTCAGCTCAAAGGATATTTCTAGGCAGGCTGAAATTAGGGAATTGAGTGCATTTTACAGAAAAAAAGAAGGGACATGAGATTTCTAGACCCAGAATAAATTTTGAAAAAGTTTACAAATCATTATCCTCAGGTTTCATTGGTACTTGACCTGTGATGAGGATGACCTTATTCAACATTGGAGTTTCATATGCATATTAAATTTGAGAAGCACTGTTAAAGAATGAGACAGAAGTCCAATTCATGTAGAGTTCAGGCCACTTGTGTGCTGGGTGACCTTGGCCGCCTGAGTTAGTTTTTAGAGTGTAAAATTAGCTTGATTTGGGCATAATGCAATTTTGAAAAAAGTCATATGAAAGACCTTTTCAGTGAGCCCAAAGTCCTTGACTTAGATCCAGCTAGAAACAACATTCTTCTTAGATTCATAAGGAGGGAGTAGAAATTTCACTAATAGGTTTATTATATTCATTTGGAATCACAAGATCCTCCCAGGCTCTGAAAGTCTATTTATCCATTCAGCCATTCCACAAACATTCATTAAACCCAAATTTGTGCCAGTGTTAAAATTTAGCAGATCAAAACTCTTTAGTATCTAACATGAAAGAATGGAAATAGTTTGGTAAGTCAAATTGTAAGCATAAGTAAATTGTTTCTGTGCTTTTATAGGCAAAAGCTGTGTTTAAGTCTGTATTTGCCTTTCAGGTAAACAACAGTTTTGTCATGTGATTCAATACACAAACCCACTGTCCTTGTTTTAGGAGGAGAGGAAAATAATCTGAGAAAAGCTCCACTTGAGACTTTTTAATGAATGGCAAATATTAAACCCTACTATCTGAACTTTTTAAAAAAGAGACAATTGATGATTTTTCAATTAAAGAATAAATTTCTTAACAAATGGATTCACCACAGGATTCCTTCCCAGTGTACCATGTTCATGGTAAACTGAAATCACCCACCCAAAACAATCATATTTCATAATGGGAGGTGTAGCCAGTTGTATTATTCTAATGCAGGGCAGTCGTTATAAAAAGAAGTATGTCTCAAATCATGACTGAGAGGTATGCCGAGAAGAAGCTGGAAAATTATATTGGGAAGCAGTGTACATTATTTAAGGCAACATTTTTTTTCAAGCCTGGTCGGAAAACAAATATGCCATAGGAGTAGAAGATGATGACACAGCATATTTGAAGAGAACATTGCAGAACTTCCAAACTACTCGTGGCCTTGTTTCTAGAGTTAAATCTGCAACAATGAACACATGTTCCACCTCTAACCCTGCCAAAACTGCTTAACATCTGGAATGAACATATTCCTTTAGACGCCTATGAAATAGGCTTAAATTGAATCAATTTTCACCTTATGAACAATACAGTTCCTGTTTACACTTCAGAACCTAAAGGAGAGATTAACTTAGATTTCTTTTTACTGTAGTCACTTGAAAGCTATTTTCTTTACATAATTTATTCTCCTGTGGACTTTTGAGGACTTGCCAGTTAACATCTAGACATCTCCTCAAGAGCAGGGAATGTTTCTCCTGCTTCTCCTGTCTTCACTCCCACAGACACTGGGTTAGCGCCAAGGGACAGGCTAATGTCAAAAGTGCCTTCACCAAGTGCATTTGCTGCACGGGATCACTTACCTCCTTAGGTCATGATTAGCCATTCGGATGCCACTCTGGAGCCAAGGTTAATGCATTTTTGCACATCTACTTAAACTTAAAACAATACTTGGCCCCAAGCCAATGCTCAACAAACATTTGCTGAGTAGAGGTAGAATATGACTATTTGTTTATTGGAGATAAACCCTAAATGGCTCTCAAGGAGACACTTGTTAGCATGTCTTTATGTTGCTACAATATTAAAGCATCCAAATAGAAAAAGCCAGGACTACCTGATTTGTTTTGTAGTCACATGAAAGATCAAAACAGAAAGACCATCTAGCTGTATTTTTTCTGTGGACAGATGAGGCTACTAAGGTCCAAAGAGGCTAAGAGACTGGCAAAGTCATTGAAGCCAGCGCGATTTAGTACCCTGGATCCCAAGGCCTGTGCCCCACCTCTCCTCTGAATGCCAGACTGGTCCATCCAGCAGCCAAGAGCTCCGTGGGGTTGACTGATGTGCTGCTCAGACCCATCATGGCTCCCACCACCACCACCAATCTGCTTCTCCCGTGACTTTCTCATTTACTAACAGTCACTTAACTTCTCAGGCCAAAAGTCTAAGAGTCCTCCTTGATACCTCTACCTCCACACTTTATATTCAGCACACCAAGAGTCCTCTTATTTCTACCTATGCAACTTGTCCCAAATGTGAACACTTCTCATCAACTTGGTCCAAGCGTTGTCTACTACAGTGACCTCCTCACTGGTCTCCCCTCCCTGCTGTCACTCTCGCACCTGAAGGTCACTCTCAGCAGGCCAAGTGATCAGTTCAGAACACAAATCTGATATCATCATTTCCCCAACTTAACT